TTTTCAAAATTATTGATAAACAGGGCCTAAAAAATTATTTAAATATTTACTTTTTTTTCTATTTTAAAAATTTCACAACACTATATAACCACTTATTTAGGAAAAACATTTTATTATCTTTCAATTCTTATCAAAGGAATTTTTATTACAGTGTCTGTCTCTTATACACATCTAGATGTATATAAGAGACAGATATATATATATATTCATAGGAGACAGTGCTGACTATTTCACATTCGTTTCGCCTCAAACTTTACTGTCCCATTGAGCTCTTTACCCCGTTCGATCAATTCCCTAAAACGTTTCCCTTTCCTGAACCGTAAGCTATTCGTATGCTTTATTCCTTTCCCCTGCCCTAAACCGTAATCTATTCGTATGCTTAATTCCTTTCGCTTTCACTGAACCGTAGACTACTTGTATGCTTCATTCACTTCCCCTTCCATAAAACTTTTCCCTTTTCTGATCTGTACGTTTTTCGTATGTTTTATTCATATTTTCTTTCTTTCCCTGAGCCGTACGCTATCAGTATGCTTTATTCCTCCCCTTCCACGAATCGTACACTATTCATTAGCTTCATTCCTTCCCCTCTGTTTTTGAAATCGATATATTGAAAACAGGGACCCACTAAAAAATCAGAAAATCGTATTAAATTAGTAATTAAATACACTCGCAAGGTAACCTATACTGCGAATTCTATCGACCAAACATAGAGTATACAGAGCCCTATATAACTCGGTTTCTCTTGATTTTGTTATACACCCCCGGGCCACACGGTATCTTCATAGTGGAAAAAAAAGTCCGAAATAGAAGCACGCAAAACTATAGAGCGCTATATTTAAAACCCTCTTATAAACACGCACACGTCACTGACTTTAAATATTCAATGATTTTATTTTTTTTTAAATCGAAGATATTACAGAAAATATTCATGACTTACCCCTAATTTGGTCATGTTAGAGAAGCCTGGTACCTATCGTTCAGAATAATACTTCATATAAGTCGTTGTGCACGCCGATAAATGTAAGCGTGTAATTTTCATGTTTTTTTTAGTCAAATTTTGGGGATTTTTTTGGAAACCAGGTAATGATGATGAGTATAATTGAGAGCAGCTTAACTCAGTCGGCTAATCTGGTGGTAGCCACTGTGTGTGCGCTGAACCGCGGAGATCTCTAGGTCCCAGGTTCAATTCCTATCGCTGCCTCCACTTGTGTTCAGCTTGAGGGCTGAAATACATGTTACAATAGCGCACCGTCTTTCGGATAAGACGTTTAAGCCGTTGGTCCCGTGTGCATTTATGGACCATGTGCACGTTAAAGAACGCAGTACACTCTTCGGAACAGAGTAGGGGATTGTCTTCCGGTGTACTGTCCAATCACCACCAGAAAGACCCCATTGGAAATAAGTCTTCTAGACTTTCGTGGGCTATCCCTGGTATTTACACCGAATAAATCCAATCCAATCCAATTACCCTCAGTTGCTCAAGTAGCATTAAATAATTAAATTTTTAATCTTGAATCTTTATTTTTATGCTAAAAGTATTATGCTACTGCTTAACCCCCTACCTCCCACATCCAAGATGGCCGTTAATGAAAACGTTTAAAGAGGTATTTACATTTCCCTATCTTTATGGCCTTGACATATTATGTAATTACTGAAACAGCAATAGTTATATACCAATTTTATTTGTTATTGTTAAAATAATAATAATATTAAAAGCAACAACAACAATAATGATAACTAGGTTTGAACTCGTCACTGAGGACGAGTTAAGTGATCCGCTTGTCAGGCAAAAGATATCCCCCGGCGCATAAAAGTATGATTTATGGAAAAATAACGTAGCCAGGATTGTCAAACTGTGCAGTTCAATATCAAGTCTGCCGGCTTCTGTCGGGTCGTCAAAGAATTAAAAAAAAAGAAAAAGTTAGGGAGAGGTCAGAAGATCATTCATTTTTACCATGATGAAGTCATCAAAGTGAAAAATATTTGACACATTCCGCTACATATACAATACAAAGCAGGAGATTCAGCAAGGACAGTACCAGACATTCAATATTTTTTCCCAATTTTAAGAAGTTATTTTTGTTCAATTTTATACCTTAATTTTCAATTCCAAATAATGTTTTCTTTTTGAACAAATACACATTCTATTTATATAAAAATTTCTATCTTATTAGCTCTTCCAAAAAACCAAATATTATAACTTGCGCCTGTAACGTATCTAAGCGTGGAGGAATGCGAGGACCATGTGAGCGGTTGCTCTAGTTTTGTATTCAGATGGCAATATGATGACGTCACAATATCCGATCTGTAATTATGATCTATAAAATCATATCTACAACTAATGTGCTTTAGGAATAAGTATTAACAATTAGGGGTCACATGTCATCCTAAGGAGCTATAATATCTGGATGAAAATAGACATGATTTTAGTAAATTTTCAGTGTTTGTCGACAAAAAGGCGCACAGGGATTCATGTATTTCATGCGCGCGTACGTCATTGTTATTGGCCCTAAGATGACTGAAAAAGAATGGAAATTTGTGAATTCAGTGTCAGAAACCCCAAAAATGTAAAAGAAAATGTAATTTCTTGCTTTCGTATGTTCTGTGCACTTGAAAATGCGTGCACGGTGCGAAAAATGTGAAAAAATTTCAAATGCTCAAAATGACATGAAACGTGCTCTAATTTAGACAAAAAGTGATTTAGAGCATTTTAGAAGCTTGACGCATGCGTATGCACAAGTTGTTACGCGCGCACCAAAAATAATAATACATGACATTCAACCTTGACCTTAAATTTATGCCCCATGAATATGATTTAGAAATGACAATTGGTTAGGATGATAAAATCGATAATATAAAAAAGTAAAATTGCGCGTAGAGGACGTCCCGCATGACTAATAACCTTGGAAAGCTTATTGTCACCATTCCAGACCAAGCCAAATAATCGTTAAATTTTCATGTTAGTAGCTCTTTGCAATGTTGAGATATCATGCTAACAAAAATGGCGAGGAAGAAAGAAGAATTTAAAAAGATGATGTTGAACTTGACAATCACAATAGGTGATTCACAATATTACAATAATATAATGATAATGATAATGATAGTAATAATAATAATAATAATAATAATAATTATAATTATAACTAGACTTATTATTTGTTTGAACAACAGAACACAGGGATTTTTTCTATTGCTTTAATGAGAAATGAAGTTGAAATTGCAACAATAAGAAAAGTCGTTAAAGGTATAAATAAAGTTTTAAAAAAACACGGAAAACCATTAAAATGTTAAAGAAGTGGGAAAAAATGAAGTGGAAAAACGGTTATAGCGAGGTACATCGTGATTCATAACCATTGCGCGATAAATGAGCCGACCTTTCATAAGAAAGTGCATTTTTAGTTCATAGAGATTCAATGATTGAAAGCAAACAAATGTTCATGTATATCACAGTCGTTTTGAGTTTAACCTAGCTGTAACTAGTTTAAGCGCTTTAGAAAACGCAAATTGTGTTTAAGTAATTTAATCAACTGTCAACAACAAATCTTTAAATGGTCCTCATATCCACACCCTACTGCGGATTGTCACCAAAATTGGATCATTTCTTCATTTTACCCTGAAAAATTATTTTGCAAAGTTTCATTTTTATCCAACTATAACTGGGACGTAAGCAATTTAAATAACCCTCACTTTTACACCCAAACTTGGATCGTTCCCTACACATAATAGTATCTTTCTTGTAAGTTGAGTTAAACTTTCCCGAAAGTTTCATCCGAATCAGTTGACCCGTTTTTGAAATATCTGGTCTTGGACGTTTTCTTTAAATGGTCGTCATATTCACACCCTACGCCAGATCATCAGAAAAAGTCAGTAATTTCTTGACCGGACGTTTACAAATTATTATATAAAGTCTCATTCACACCCATTAAAAACTTTTTTATAGAATCTCAAAAATTTAAATGACCCTCAAATTTACACCCTTGACTAAATCACCGCCAACACATAATACTATCTTCCTTATAACTTGGTTACAATTTTTCCGAATGTTTCATTCAGATCAATTGATCCGTTTTTTTAAATATGCGTTCTGGGACGTTCTCCTTTCAATGGTCCTCAGATCTATACCTTACTCCGGATCGTCATAAAAATGTAATCATTTCTTTACTCGACCTTGACAAACTGTTTTACAAGGTTTAAATAATACCCATTGATTTTTTTTAAAGATATATTTATGTCTGGGCCCTCAAATATTTAAATGACTCAAATTTACACCCTTGGCTGAATTGTCGCCAGCACATAATAATTTCTTCCTTGTAACTTGGTTAGACCTTTTCCGAATGTTTCATTTCATTCAGATCAATTTGTCCGTTTTCGAAAAATGTGGCCTTGGGCGTTTTCCTTTAAATGGTCCTCAGATCCACACTATACTGCGGTTCGTCACAGCATTTTAATATTTTTTGTTTGCAGGACCTTTACAAGGTATTTTAGAATCTTTTATCTAGACCCATTGGTTTTTATTTATTTATTATAAGAGATATTTATGTATGGGTCCTAAAAAATTAAAAAGATCTTCAAATGTACACACTTCACTGGATCGTCACTAAAACATACAAATGTTTTCCTTGTAACTTGGTTAAACTTTTCCGAAAGTTTCATTCAGATCAACTGACGGTTTTTTTTTTTTGTAATATCTGGTGTAGAATGTTTGACCTTAATTCACTTTAATTGGTCCTCACACGCACACCCCACCATAGATTAACACTAAATATTAGGAGGAACATCCATGATGGACTATGCTTCGGCAAAGCACGGAAAAAATTTAAGCATGGGAAGTAACCAAAGTGACGGCCAGAAAAAAAAAACACTATAAAAAGAAAGGAAAAATAATACGGTATGCCAGAAAAAAGAAAAAACAAAAAACAAAAACAAAAACAATGGCTTTTCCGAGTACAGCTGGGAAAAGCAAATAATATTAGTATTAATAAATCATGACTGTTACTTACCTTCTTGTTATTGTAAAGTAGGTCCTTCGTGTAACCGTGGTGGGTGACAATAGTGCTATTCTAGCTCAATGGTTATCAGCAGACAATGCTCGATCAATGATATGTGGTGTAATTCCGTGTATAACCAGAATATATAGTCCAAAGACCCCGTCCTAAAACAAATCGGATACCAGAATTTATCCAATAGGAGCTGTGCTATCACCGTTTTAAAATTACACATCCTGCATTTACTGTGAATTATGGGAAACCCGTTAAATTAAATACACATGCTCTGAACTAAAAAATCAAGCTTAGATAAAATATGCAAAGCATAATTTTTATAACGGTATTAATATCATTGACCAAGAAATTGCCCTAAATTTACTTTATGGCGACTGAGAAAAATAAACTGAACAAATACATGTTGACAAATTGTAACTAACAACGAAAACCTGCTTTCCGCATAAACATTTTTAAAGTATTTTATTAAAAATGCATGTTAAATTAAATTAAAGACTTTCAAATTTATTTAGAAAATATAATAAGGTAGTATGGTTTGTCATGCCAGAAAATTGGCTCCAGATAGATTTTTTTTGCCAAAATGGATTGTATTGGCTAAACTTACAAAAAGTTGTCATGTTTGGTATTGTTGGAAAGCTCTTCCGATGCTGAGTAATGTTTTACAGTACAAATAATATATCAGAAACGGTGTAGTTTCTATATATTGTTCAGTGAAATCCAATTATGGCATACCGTGTTAAAATAAACAGGACCCAGTTGCGTAAAGCTTGTGAACTCTTAGGGGTGGGACTCCTAATACTACTACCTAGCACTTTACTACCGAATCTTAACAGTGGCGTAACGCATGTACCTTCTAGGCCAATCCGTGTCCAAATACACAAGGGAATCTAGAGGAACCCTTCTTACTTCTATACTCATCACTCTACTGCAACGCCGTGTGTATAAGAGACAG